GGAGGCGACAAATGGACAGGAAAACTAGGTTCAAAGGCGGCCTTTGCCGGATGAACGGTATGAATTATGCTAATTCTGAAGTCGCACCTCATTCTAGGGAATCCGGTTATACCTTTAAGTTCTACGGGCCCAAAGTCTTCGCGAGAAGTGACAACTGCGTGAGTCGCGAGTCACCTGGGTTAGGACTCTTTTGACTGCGATCCATCAGCAAATGCAGTGATCTTGTGGCGGACAGCCGGCAATGCTGTCCAACTGCCTCGTCCAATGCCTTAACATCATTCAACTTCGCAGGCTGCTGTCTCCGACCCGCTGGCCCTCGACGGACTTCCACTCGCGCATCCAACTAGTCACGGCTGTCTAAAGGCCTACTTGAGCATGCCACCCCCGACCGACACTGACTGGGCCTCTATACTCGACATCCTCTCGGGTAATGCAACACACCAATTGAACCCTATTAGAACTTGCTCCAAAATTATACATGAGCAGCTGTCACCACAGTCTCATATACTCTCTCGGGCATGACTGGACGCAGTCGGCGCCTACCCTGGTTCCGCCGGTGGCTACTGTTTCCCGAAACGGCAACTCAGGTTTCTGTGCGCAATAGTTCCCTCTTTCTGGTAATTTGTCTTTTACCTGTAATCTGGGCTTTGACCTGATGATTGTAGTGATCTAAGCACAAACACGGCTTAGACCTCAGCAAATTGGTTACCCCGACCTCTACAATCTCTCTGCCCGTATCCAGCATTCAGGCTTTGCCTGAATATTGAGTAATATAGAGAACGCTGCTTTCGGTGAAAACAATAATGATCCAGACCGTCGAGTAATTTTCATGTTACCTACCAGCACTTGCAATGAAATTGTTGAAAATTACGGGATTGAATGCTGGCGACCAGGACATTATCGCTCTAAACGCACAGTTTCCAGTTTTAGGTACGGTGGTAGGTACTTCTGCTACCTCGCACAGAAGTCGTCTCTAATGATCGGCTTAAAAACACATCCGAAATATCAGACGAATAACATTCCTGCTTCACCGGTCGGAGCATTCTCTCAAATACTTCCTAGTATTCACAGAGAACATTTTTATCTGCAAGCTTTCAACAAAACCTACTCAGGCACAAGGGGTTTATAGCCCTCATTCGATTTTGGTGAGATATTCCAAGGTACTCCTTTTAGTATTGGCCAACGGTAAAATTAATAAGCAGGCCGAAATTTACGTCCGATAAGCATTAACCGCTGCCCTTCCTCACTTATGAAATTAGCGCTTCCTGAAATAGTCGCGGTCAGTCGAGTGGTAAATTTGGTCACTAACACCCCCTGAAAGCCTGTTTTTTTACTTACAGATCACACACATACGGGATCGTGTCACCGGATTGCACTCAACTAAGTACAATGTAACCTCGCGTATAAAAGTATCCGTGTCCGGTGTCGACGCATGGTTCATTAATGTGAAGTTATTTTGTGATCCTTTAGAGACTCCCTACTGTATAGATACTTGATGGCAAACTGTGTATAGAAGTCCCTGCTGTACAAAACCTCCCTTCCCAGACCTTCCTGTTTTTTTTAACCTGAATTCAACTCAAATACATACATATTTGACCATGCTGAC